GTGAGGATTTTTGTTTTCTTGACATTGAGATGCAGTCCATATGGAAGGCTGCGTTGTTTGATTTTCCTCAGTAAATATTTTAAGTCCTCTCCACTTTCAGCAAGCAAGGTTGTATCATCTGCATATTGTAGGTTGTTAATGAATATATTGTAGCAAATGTAGATACCCATGTACAAGTATCCTATGTCAAACCCATATATATATTTGTGGGTCTACTATCACTCTTGGTTTATTGATTTTATAATGTTAAACTATTCCTGGCATGAATCTCACCTGATATTGATGTATTATTATTTTTTTATCAGCTGTTGAATTCTGTTGGCTAAAATTTTCTTGAAAATTTCGGTGTCTATATTCCTGAGGGATTGTTGTTGTTGATGTTAAGTGCTGTTGAGTCAGTTCTAACTCACAATATAGAGTTTCTGAGGAGTGGCTGATGGATTTGAACTGCTGACCTTTCAGTTCAAACAACTTCATAGTCCAGAGCTTGTCCTACAGCACAGAATCAGGACTCCTTATGAGAGATATTGGTCTGTAATATTCTTTTTTTTTTTGGGGGGGGGGGTTGGTATCAGGGTTATACTGATTTTATAGAATGAATTAGTGAGGGAGTATTCCTTTCTCTTCTATGTTCTGGAATAGTTTAAATAGAATTGGTGTCAACCCTTGTCTGAATGTTTGGGAGAACTCTTCAGTAAAGTCACCTAGGCTAGTTATTTGTTGTTGTTGGGAGGTTTTTTTTTTTTGTTTGTTTTGTTTTGTTTTTTAATGATATTTTCAATTTTTTTTATACTGCTATGAGTCTACTTAGGTTTTCTGCCTCTGCTTGTTTTTATTTAGTTAAGTAATATATTTCTAGAAATTTGCCTGTTTGTTCTAGGTTTTCCAATTTGCAAGAGTATAACTTTTCATAATCTATTATGATCATTTTTATCTTAGTTGATTCTCTTGTAATGTCCCCTATTTCATCCCTCATTTTGATTATTTGCATCATCTCATTGTTTTCCTTTGTCAATTCAGCCAGTGGCTTGTCAATTGTATTGATCCTTTGAAAAGAATCAATTTCTGGTATTGTTGATTCTTTCTATTATTTTTCTGTTTTCTATTTAATTTGGTTTTCTATTTTGATCTTTGTTACTTCTTTTATTCTGGTGATGGTTGACTCCTATTGCTGCTATTTGTTTGAGTTATAGGATTAGGCTGTTGTTTTGGGTCCTTTATTATTGTGTGCATTTGTTGCTGTAAATACTCCTCTATGCATTGATTTTGCTATATCCCAAAGGTTTTAGTATGTTGTGTTTTCATTCTTATTTGAGTCTAAATTTTTTTCAATTTCATATTCTATTACCCAATAATTTTTACTACTGTTATTCATTTACATGTATTTATTTTTCATTGTTTTTTTTTTCTTTCTAGTTTTATAGCATTATTATCAAAGATGATACTTTGTATCATTTTGGTGTTTTTAAAATATATTGAGGCTTGCTTTGTAGTCTAAAATATGGTCTATTCTCTAGAATGAAATAAACAAGAATGTTAACTGTGGTGCTGTTACATGGCAGGTTCTATATATGTCTATGAGGTCAAGTTGTTTGATTGCATTATTTCAATCTGTTATTTTGACTGTGTTGCTGACAATTCATACTTGCTTTCATGAGAGGAGAGGGAATACCTATCTTGCACAATGTAAACTAGAATATTGATGTTCCCTCAATTCCACCCAAAGGGGAAAAGAAATATTGCAAAGAGGAATGTGTCTTTCCTAAATCGAAGAGTCTGAAACTTCACATCAAAGTCAGGCTATTAGAACACAAAGTTGTTCATACATCACACAGTTGTTTTCATTTTATAAATTGGGAAAGTGAGGCCCAAGTAAGATTGTATAATATGACCATACTTGCAATAGAACAAGGATAAGAATTAAAGCTCCTGATTAGAGTGAAAAAATTGCTGTATTGCCCAGTTCCTTGTTCAGTGCCTGACACATGGCGAATCCATGGCACATGCTGCCTTCAGTTTGATTCTGACTCATAGTGGCCCTTTGGTCAGAATAGAACTGCTGTTTAGGGAAGCAGTCTACCATGTCTTTCTCCCATAAAGTGGCTGATAAGTTCAAAATACTAACCTTCTGGTTAGCAGTTGAGTGCTTAATCACTGCACCACCAGGACTTCTTGCACACTTGATCGGTATGTCCATAAACATGGCTCACATATGTGACTGACTGACTGATTGGACTGGTGAACATATGAATGATATGCTTGTACTGTGTGCTTTCTAGACTCCAGCAGGACCCATGCTCGGCCCATTTTACACAGATGCTCACTGCATTTGAAATATTAGAGGACTCTCTTTATTTGCTGTGACTTCATAACATTTTTCTTCCTCTTTGTTGATTCAATCAGAAGCCATACAGGATGTGCACCGTGACTCATGACAACGAATTGGGGTTTTCTTTCTAGCGAGTGTAGTCTTGACAGTGTTAATATAGGAAACCTCAGCAGACAGGCAATTATGTACTGGGCTGGCCCTCAGAGAGGAAGGCAAGCAGTGGCGTGATTTTGTGAATTAGAGAGACCATTGGAGGAAGTACTCTATCAGTACAGCTGGAGAATTATAGCTGCACTTCAACGGAGCTGTCCTTGATTTTTCTTCTGTAGAACTCATGTTTTCACATTTCTCCTTTGACTGTATCTTGCTGCTGCTTCTGCCACTTACAAGTAAGTCTGGGCATAAACTTTTACATCTGGATAATAGCGTGGTTGTTAAGTACCATGGAATCAGTTCCTACTCATAAAGACCCTGCACAGGGTTTCCGAGGCTGTAAGTCTTTAAGGGAGCAGAAAGCCTCATTTTTCTTCTGCGGAGCCGCTGGTACTTTCGAACTGCTGACCTTCAGGTTGGCAGCCTGACTCATAACCACTATGCTACCAGAACTCCTTAATAGCGTGGTACAGGGTGCAAAATATAAGATATAAGTATAAGAATAATAGTAAAAGATTGGAAGCTCCTTAAATGTCCTTCAGTGAAGGAGTGAGTGAATGAAATGTACTATAAATACCTTTACAAACATGATATAAACAGTGACCAGACAAACATACTAGTAATGGAATGTCTCCAATGTTAATTGCAAAATTCAAGGAACAAAATACTGTGTAGATAGACTTATGTTTATATGTGTAAAGAACACACGAATGCTTTTTAATGTATAGAAATCCCTGAGTAGTGCAAATGGGTAATCCATTCACTGCTAACTGAAAGGTTGGAGGTTTGAGTCCTCCCAAAGTGGCAACCTACATCTGAAAACTCAGCCAAAGAAAAGCTTATGAGGACAATTTCTCTCTTACATACATGGAATCACCATGAGTCAGAACAGACTCAGTGACAACTGTTTGTTAATGTATAAAACTAAAACCAAACTTACTGCCATCAAGTTGACTCCAACACATGGTGACCAAGGTTGCAAATTTTTATGGGCACAGAAAGCCTCATCTTTCTCCTTTGGAGTGATGAGTGGGTTTTAATAGTTAACATTGAGAATTAATATAGGGAGTCTTACCATTCATTCTTTACTTTTTATATTATTTGAACATTTTGCCATGTACATGTATTACTTAAAAAAATAATAAAAAAGGAAATACCGGCATACCTTGGAAATGTTGTGGCTTCATTTCCAGACTACTGCAATTAAGCAAATATTGCAATACAGTGAGTTAGATGAATGCTTGCCTTTCCAGTGCCCATGAGATATGTTTACACTATATTACAGTCTATTAACTGTGCAATAACATTCTTAAAAGATTTTAAATATTGTGAGATTTACCAAAATGCAACACAGAGACACAAAGTGAGTGTATGTGCTATTGGGCAAATGGCGCCAACAGACTTGTGCTCCGCTCATGGTTCCCACAAATCTTCAATTTGTAAAGTACTCAGTATCTGCAAAACACAATGAAGTGAAGTGTGAAAAAACAAGGCTGACCATCAAAACAGCCTGTGAGTGGTTTTAGATAATATAACCTCTATATTGAGTCAAGTGTTTTTATTCACTATGTAACTGGTACTGAGAAATTGTAACCACCCTTCCTCGATGAACAGATAAGTAGCCAAAATGAATGCTCTTTTCAGATTCTCTGCTTCTATCTGCTGGTGTTTATAGGACTAGTGGTTTTCTGTGTGGTTCTCAAAGTGTGATTCTGGGACCAGGAGCAACACCTGGGAACTTGTTAGATATGCAAATTCTCAGAACCCACACCAAACCAGGACTGCTGGTGAGGCGCTGTAGAATCGGTGCTGGACTGTGAACCGCAAGGTCAACAGTTCAGACACACCAGCTACTCCTTGGAAACTATGAGTTGGAGCCAACTCAATAGTACTTAACAACAACATGAGCCTGGAAACAACTCAAGGGCACTTAACATCACCACCACCACCAAACCAACTGCATCTGGAACTCTAGAGGTAGAGCCCAGAACTTGCATTTTGATAAGGCTTCCTGGTGATTCTGATGCCTGCTGAATCTGAGAGGAACCATCCTACAAATGGGACAGCAGCATGGTTTGCTCTGTATTGTATTGGTATTGCTCTCAGTTTTCCTGAAATGTACCCCATCTCACTGCATGCCTGAGGCTTACTCTCCTTGCTTTTTACCCAGGGTCTTTGGAGGTGGAGGAGGGTCAGAATGCTGTTTTGCCCTGCAGCTATTCTCCGACCCCTTCAGTAAATCTCATGTCTGTATGTTGGGGCCATGGATCCTGTCCACTGTCACAATGTCATAAAACAGTACTCACCACTGATGGAAATCAAGTGACCTTCCAGAAATCCAGCAGATACCAGCTAAACGGATATGTACACGAAGGAGATGTGTCCCTGACCATCGAGAATGTGACATTAGCTGACAGTGGGGCCTACTGCTGCCGGGTACAAATCCCAGGCCCACTAAATGATAAAAAACTGACCTTGGAACTGCACATTACACCAGGTGAGTGGGCCATTGCATGCCTTCTTTATGTGTAAGACTCATCTGTAGAAGGACATTGAATATGCTGGCTGGACTCCCTCTGATCTCTGCCGTACTTATAACATTTAGGTCTGGACCTCCCAAACCTAAACTTTAGCGATCTCCACTAGTGATGCTTGTGCTTAATATCCTCCATCTATTTTGAAGCCCACAGATAAGATCTATAAAATGAAAGGAAAAGGCCTAAACCAATTGTTAGAGAACCTGATTGCTCATTAGAATCATCTGGAGGGAGAGCTTTCAATAGACGTTGTGGCCTTTTCCACAAACCGGAGGAATAGGCATGTCTGGCGGTAGGTCCTTAGTACTTATAGTTCATAGTCTAACCCAGGTGGTTTTTGTGTGCTGCTGGGATCAAGAATCACTGAGTTGTGTATGTGCATGTGTGTGTGTATATTTTAAGATGAATAAAACATGTACTTTGTGACCAGATTGAGCTGGGTTCAAATCCAACTTTTCCAGTTACTACCTGAGTCATTTTGGGCAAGTTAAAGTTTGACTTCTTCCTGTGTTACAAAAGAGTCTATATAAATGAGATAATGCCTTATTTAAAGCACTTGACTGAGTGTGGCCATTAGTGCAGCTGTTAATATTCTGATGAACAATTAGACTGCTGATGGTGGCTGTAACCTACCTCTGTCAAGCGTTTATGTGGTGTATATTCTCACTAAAGGTGTCCAGGTAGGTTCAGAAGTTGAGGATGTGTTTCTACTCATGTTTCGTGTTTCATATTTCTTTTTTCTGCTGCCCTTTTGATCCCCTGAAACAAACTCTCTGCTCTCAGAGAAGCCTCATCCTTATGTTGGTTTCTGACATTAGCCAAGGTTGCCACGGCTCGGACCCCTTGGAGAGACTTTACGACAATCTTCCCAAGATTACTCACCACCAAGGATGACCGCACAGGTAATTATACACAGGGTTTAGGAGGAAGTGTTTGGTGGGTTTCTCAGTATAAAAGATTTTATACAATAAGAAGTAAAAATAGTTGGAGGTTGGAAACATTGTACGGGTATGTTTCTGTGTACCTGAGAGAGAAATGAGACTACTGTTTGACGTGAGGGAGATAGTGGAAACAAATCTGTGTTGGCAACAAAACTCTGATTCTGGATTACTCACGCTCTGGTCATGTGGCCTGGACCAAGATATTTCCCTTCTCTAAATTTCAGTTTCCACATCTGTCCTAGGAGTGGGTTCAGAGACTTTTGATTTTATGACCCAGGAAAATATTTTCTACCCACCAAAATAAGTTCTTCTTGTTGTTAAGTGCCGTTAAGTTGGTTCTGATTTATAGTAGCCCTCAATAGGGTTTCCGAGGAGTGGCTGGTAGGTTTGAACTGCCGACTTTGTGGTTGGCAATCCTTTGCTCATCCTACAGTGCCCCCAGAATTTGGATGATTGACCTATTCTGCCAAATAAGGAAAAACAAACAACAGCAAAACATTTTTTTTAGCTAGCACTTGACTACAAACTTGAAGGTTGGTGATTCAAATCTTTATAGTGGCCTTGCAAAAGAAAAGCCGAACATAAGTCAAAAGCAATTAATTGGCAATGGATTTGATTTTCATATCTAGCTTGTCATCATTTCATTAAAAAAAAAAAAATAAAAAATTTTAAATAAATTTAATCTAATGCAAAACTCATTAATTTATCATCATTTTGTTGATTTTCATATCTAGCTTGTCATCATTTCATTAAAAAAAAAAACTTAAAAAATTTTAAATAAATTTAATCTAATGCAAAACTCATTAATTTATCATCATTTTGCTGATTTAGTCCTGGACTAATGATGCTTCATTATGAATTGGTCCCAGTCAATGGACCAGTCTTTGGTAACTAGTAGATTGGATTAGGTGATTTCTAGAATTTTTTTAAAAGTTGAAATGAAACCTATTAGCTTCCTTGGATTTCAACCTGAGAAAGAACAGCTAAATTCTTACAATTCAGCAAGGACATTCCTGTTCATCTCTGGAAGAGAAGATAGTATAGAAAGGGCAGAACTTTGGCCAAATTAACAAATGAGGTTAATCTCAAATATTTTCTACCTGATTCTTGGTCTCCCCTAAATTTTTGGAGCTTGGTCTTTTGTCCTCTAAAAATAAGGTTAATAAGAGAAATTCTATCTCTTAGGATTTCTATGAAACTTAAATAAGAAATTATGTCTTAAGTACTTAATCAAGATTCTGATCATAGTAAGTATTCAATATGTGTTAGCCATTATCATTAATTGTTGTTAAGTGCCATTGAGTTGGTGCCCACTCATAGCAGTCCTATGCCTCAATGAAATGAAACACTGTCCAGATTTGCACCATCTGCCAAATTCTTGTTATGTTTGAGCCTATTGGTGCTGCCACTGGTCAATTCATCTTGTTGGGGTCTTCCTTGTTTTTGCTAAATCTCCAAATTTTCAAGCATGACCAATTCCTCACTGGTCCTGCCTAACAACGTGACTAAAGTATATAATGTCTTGCCATTGTCACTTCTAAGGAACAATCCTAATACAACGCATTGTTTGCTATGCTTTTTTTGTGTATGTGCAACTATACCAATATTTACCTCTATTCCCATTAACTTTTGTACTCTTCTTGTGTCTTCCTTACCTTTATCAATCTTTTGCCAACCTCCCTCTTATTGTATATTGCCTATTCCATCACCCAAGTTAACACGTTTTCACCCTCTAGCCAATGACTTACTCTCCCTTCCTTCTCATCGCTGGTAACCATCAAAGAATATTAATTTTGGCATGAAAACCTTTTCTTGATATTTTGCAATAGTGATTTCATATAATACTTATCCTTTTGTGATTGACTAATTTCACTCATCATGGTGTGTGATGCTGTAGGATAAGCACTGGCCTGTAAACAAAAGATTGGCAGTTCAAACCCACCCATTACTACTTGGAAACCCTATACAGGGTTACTGTGAATTGGAATCAACTGGATGGCATGTAACAACAACAACATCTTCCAGGTTCATCCATGTAATAAAGTGTTTCACAGATTCACTGTTATTCTTCAGCATATTATTCCATTGTAGGGATGTACCATAGTTTGTTTATCTGAAGTAAACAGAAAGATTTTCTCAATCTGTGGGTTCTTTCTTTACTCTTTTGGTGAACTATTTTGGTTCACAGAAATGTCTAATTTTTATGAAGTCTCGGTCATCTATTCTGTCTTCTGATGTTTATATTTTGTTAATGGGCATTTGGGCTGTCTCTCTCTTTTTGCTATTGTAAATAATGTTACAATGAACATGAGTGTGCATATATCTATTTGTGTCACTGCTCTTGCTTCTTGAAGATATATACCAGATAGAATCCTGGTGTGGTGGTGCAGGATAATATACTAGACTGCAAGGTCAGTTTGAGTCAGAAGATTGGTGGTTCAAACTCACCAGCTGCTCCTCAGAAACCCTATACAGGTTTGCTGTACGTTAGAACCAACTCGATAGCACTTGACAACAACAACATATACAAGTAGAAGGATTGCTGGATCATGTGGTATTTCTACTTCAACTTTTTGATAAAGTGCCATAACATCTTGCATAGTGGTTGCACATCAGCAGTGTAAGAGAGTCTCAGTCTCTCTATGCCTTTGCCAGCATTTGTTGTTTTGTGTTTTTTGAACTTTGCTACTAATGCTGGGGTGAGATGATATTGCTGTTTTGACTTGCTAATTGTTGTGAGCATTTCTTCATGTATTTGTTGGCCACCTGAATGTCTTCTTTAGTGAAGTGTTTGTTCATGTCCTCTTCCCATTTTTAAATTGAATTATTTGTCTTTTTCTTGTTGAGGCGTTGGAGTTTTTAATAAATTTTAGAGTGTTAGTAGTCCATTGTCTAATATGTCATGGCCCCAAAATTTTCCTCAGTCTATAGGCTCTCTTTTTACTCTTTTGATGCACGTGTCTAGTTTCTAGGAGATCCCAGTCTATTTTAGGAGTCTTGGTGTGGTGCTGCGGGTTAATGCACTGGACTGCAAGGTTGGTGGTTCAAGCTCACCAGCTGCTCCTTGAAAACCCTATACAGGGTGGCTATGAGTCAGAACCGACTTGATACTTAACAACAACAGTCTATTTTGTCTTCTGATGTTTCAGTTATGTATAATACTATATTTATGCCATATAGCAGAGCCCTTAAATTAGTCTCTGTTTTGTCACTGGTGGTCTTTATAGTTCTAGGTTTTACATTTAGCTCTTTAATCTATGCTCAGTTCATCTTTGTATATGTTGTCAGGTATGGGTCTTGTTTCATTCTTTTGCAAATGGATTTCTAGTTTTGCCAGCACCATTTGTTGAAGAGATTATCTCTTCCACATTTAGTGTGTTTTGGCCCTTTTTCACAGGTCAGCTAGCTGTTCATTATGTTATGTTATGTGCTGTCCAGTCGGTTCTGACTCAGAGTGATCCTATATAGGGTTTCTGAGGAGCAACTGGTGAGTTTGAACCTCTGACCTTGAGGTTCAAACCGACCTTGCAGTCAAGTGCTTATTCTATAGCTCCACACCATAGATAGACTTACTTTTGGGTTCTCAATCTTTTCCATTAATATATATGCCTTTCTTTGTAAAAGTACCCGGTTGTTTTGACTACTGTGGCTGTGTAGTAGACTTTGATATTGGGAAATGAGCAGCCTCTTACTTGTTCTTCCCCTTTAGTAATACATTGATTATTTGGGATCTCTTTCCTTTCCATACAAATTTAATGATTATATTTTCCATTACTTTAAAGAATGATGTTGGAATCTAGATTGGGATTGCACTATATCTATAGATCACTTTGGGTGGTGTTGACATTTTCACAATGCTAAGTCTTCCTATCCAGGAGCATGTGCATTCTTCTATTTATTAGGTCTCTTTTGATTTTATATAGCAGTGACTTCTAGTTTTCTTTGTATAAGGGCTTTTGTTTCTCTGGTTAGATTTATTCCTAAGCATTTCTTCTTTTTGATTGCTGTTGTAAATGGTATTGTATTCCTTTTCAGAACTCTATTAGTGTAAAGGAATTTAACTGATTTTTGTATGTTAATATTGTACCCTGCTATTTTGCTGAATCGTTCAATGAGTTTTAATATTTTTCTTGATGAGTCTTTGGGATTTCCTATGTATAGAATCATATAATCTGAAAATAGAGTTTTACTTCTTTGCCAATGTGGATGTCTTTAATTTCCCTCTTGTTTTATAGCTCTGGCCAAGGCTTCCAGCACAATACTGAATAGGATTATGTTGAGGAATTTCCCTTATAATCCTATTTTGTTGAGTGTTCTTAACAGGAATGGAAATCATTTGATTTCTTCACTGCAGCTTTTGTGATTGTGGATCCATGCAAAATGAAATCTTTGACAACTTCTATCTTTTTTCTATTTATCATGATTTTATATATTGGGCCCATTGTGAGGATTTTCATTATCTTTACACTGAAGTGCTATCCATCCTGAAAGTTGTAGTCTTTGATCTTCATCAATAAGTATTTCAAGTCTTCTCTTCCAGCAAGCAAGATTGTGTTATTTGTGCATCTCAGGCTGTTAATGAATGAGTCTTCTTCCAATCCTGATGCCCAGTTCTTCTTCAGATAATCCAGTTTCTTGGATTATTTGCTTATTATGCAGATTGAATAATATGATGAGAAGATACAACCCTGCTACATACCTTTCCTGGAATTAAACCATTCACATTCCCTTGCTATGTTTGAAGATTGCCTCTTGGTCCATGTCCACATTCCTCATGAGCACAATTAAGTGTTCTGGAATACCTATTGTTTGCGGTATTATCTGTAGATAGTTATGATCCATACAGTTGAATGCCTTTGCATAGTCAATCAAGCACAGTAAACATCTTCCTGGTATTCTGCTTTTAGATATTTTTATTAAGATCATCAGTTAAGTACTTTAATGACAGGCAGAATGGATAC